TCTTGAGCCCAGAAATAGCTTTGTCTGCTGCATCTGCCACCCGGCACCAGCTGCGATAGAAGGCAGCAGCTTTGGCCCCGTGTTTGTTGGCGTGTGGTTGGTTGGGGCTTTTTAAAAACGCTTTTTCTGTAAAAGGAACTGATCCTTTCGAGTGGGGAAGAGGCCCTGGCTGGGAGCTGGCAACTGTTTTTTGTAGGGAAGGCGGATGGGATCTGTCGCCTAAAAACCACGCGTGTCGTGCTCGCGGCTGGGGGGGGGGACGATGGGCAGCCATCAGCTGATGCTTGGGAGGATGGTTTGGAGCTGATGCCATCCCTGCTGCCCACCCTCCCCTGGGGTTTGGGGTTTTTTTTTTTTTCCTTGGTGGAATTTACTGAAGCAGCTGGTTTAATCCCAAACGGAATGTGAGTGGATGGGAGTGATTTAAGGACGGTGCAAAAAAGCCGGGAGAGAGGAAAGGAGGGGAAAAAGCTCCGAGGTGGGGGAGCTGCGTCTCTACCTCCATCCTCCCTTTTGCCACCTAGGTGGGAGGACACGGAGGTGGAAAAGGCTGGAGCAGCTCCCGCCTCCCCTGCGGGCGCTGGAGGGAGTAGAGGAAGGCCAGCGGTGGTAAATACCCCAATAATTACATTGGCTTTGAGCTGGTTTGTTTTGATGGTGCTGGGCACGGAGCGCTTCATCTGCTTTTTATTTTCGTACATGACTGCCCCGAGGCAACCCTAAAGGCTCACCTCCTGATCTGCCCTTGCTGAGGGTTTATTTCTTTATTTTTTGGGCTGGAGGACGTATAGAAAGCTTTACGTCCCCTCTGTGTTTCTCTGTAGGAGACAAGGGACAGGATGGGACCTCTCAAGAGACTCTCAGCCCGTCACCACCCCGAGGACACCCCGGGGCAGGACAATCCGAGGATGCCACCTTGCCTCCGCCCTTGCCGCGTCTCAGCGTGGGCTGAAAAGCCTTGAGTGAAAAGCCTTGAGTGGGTGGGTAACGGAGCTGGGAGGGCCGAAATGGGTGGGCTTCCAGGCCTTTGCACCCACCTGGATTCTCGCTCCAGTGCTACAGGTAAGGGATAAATTTGGGGTTCGGGAGCAGAGAGCATCCCTGCCTGTGTTTAAATCCCTCGTCTGGATGGAGGCTGTGGGCATGGAGGGGGAAAATCTGCATTTTTTTCTTTTTTTTTTTTTTTTTCTCTGCCACAGAGGAAAAATCACGCAGCAGAAGTCAGTTGCTCAGTGGGAGCTTGTCTTCTCCCGGCAGCTGGAAATGCCAAGCTCAGCGGCGGTTTTCCCATCAGCGGAGCAGAAAAAACCCCACGTTTTTGCCTTTGAGTGTGCGGAGGGTGAGTTGGGAGCCTGCAGAGCCGGGCCCCGGGGCTGCCTTGCAAAGCCCCGCCGACGGGACCCCCTAACTTCGTTTAGGGCAGGGTTTTTCCCACCCTCTAGCATCTTCCCCCTCGGCACTCTGCTCCCTTCTCCCCCGGGACTCCCGCTCCAGCTCAGCCCAGGCTGTGGGTCCCACTTTGGGCTCCTGGTTGACCCCAGGGTGTCTTCTTCAGCGGCACCTCGCTGTGTCCCCTGTTGTGCAGGATACCCCTGCAAAGAAAAGGTGGGGTTTTTTCTTTTTTTCTTTTTTTTTTTTTTTTTGCAGGTAAAAGGTGGATTTTACTTTTTTTTGCAGCAGTATTCAGGTGTTGTCAGGGAAGGAGGGATCCAGTCCTGTTTGCTGCGTGGATTCCTCGCTCCTTGGGTGCTAGACAAAAGCGCCTTTGTTTTATTTCTGCGTGCCACTTGCAAAGACGTTGCTCCACTGGGCAGCGATGTTTTCCCCTACCAAGGCCATGAACTAGAACAGCGTTGGCCTGTAATGTTTTTGACATGCTTTTCGAGACACAAAAGTCCTTTATTTCCCACAAGCCCGGTGTATCTGGGAGTATTTTCTGATAATCAGGCATCTCTGTTGATCCTAACTTGTTTTTTTTTTTTCCTCTTCCTCCATCACCTGCTGTTTTACTCCAAAATGCACCAAGCTGCAGCCTGGGGCAGGAATAATTTGGTTTTGGGTGTTTGGGACAGCAGCAAAATGCTACATCAATTAAACGCTCTTCAAAATGAAGAGTTGAGGGAGAGGAGGAAAAAAAAAAAAAAAATCCTCCTGATTCTTACATTTACGAACACATGAAGGTTGTTCTTCCCTAGAAAATATTTGCTGCAAATTGAGGAAGGTCCCAAGAGCAGGTACTGGTAGTGGAATTTGTATTTACAGTGCTGAGACTAAACAGGAACACCAGCTATGTACGTGGCGTATTGTCATGGTTTAGCCCCAGCTAAAAATCAGCTCTATTCCGGCCGAAACCAGGATATGTATATATAGCTTTAGAAAACAGGGAAGCTCTGTGTTAGAGGAACTACTGCCGGTGATTTCAAGGGCTTGTTGACAACAGCATCCGCAGGTTTTTCTCTTTCGCCTGGGTGGAGTCTTGTTTTGTTTCTCTGAGGTTTCTTCGTGCCAATAGCTCCGGTGGGACCCGTTTTGCTTCTCTGAGGAGAGACCCGAAACTGTTAACGTTTTGCCCTGGGCTTTGGGAAAGGGCTGTGTCCAGGGAAAGGTCAAAACCCAAAAGAATTCAGAAAAACCGTGTGCAAGAACAACGTAGAAAAATATGCTGTCGTGGGAGGCTTTGAGAGGCGATAATTCAGGGGGAACGCGGGCCGAGATGTGGGAAAAGGAGAAAAGGAGCTTTGAGGAAAATAGATGTAGAAAAAAGTGCTGTGACGAGCAGCGCTGAGGGTTGGGGCGGAGGGGGGGTGATGAGCTTTTTGCCTTTTTATTTTAGTGACTGCAGGAGCATCCTGGCAAAGCCCCGGGACACAGAAGGACCTGGCTGGTCCCTGGCAAAGACTGGACTGCTGTAGGGATGCTGTCGCAGCAGAGAACGGAGGAAGGGACCAGTAAGCACCGGTCTTGTTTTGGGAACCTTGTTTCGGGGGTCATGGCTGGGCTTAGCGTGACGTGGACAGCTCAGATTTTGTTCACATAGCTGGGAGGGGAGGAGGATGTCGGAAAGGTGAAGGTGTTTGCAAGCTGCAGGAGGCCCAGGGCAGCCCAAGCTGTGGGTCGGTGCCCATCTCTCGGGGTTGAGGATGGAGAGGATGCAGTGAGGTCAGGCAGCCCTAAAAGTCCTTGGAGGCCGGTGAAAACAGTGGGGTGCAGCCCTTGAACTGAGCCTGCACCCCGCTGTGACCCCCCCCGATTGCTTTGTGCCTGTATTTAAAGGTGTTGAAGGCACCCAGGGTGGGGACTACAAGAGCTGCAGGGTGCTTGGGGTGCTCTTCGCGCCGCGGGTTTGCTGGCCCTGCCTCTTCCCCGCGCTTTGTCCCCAGGTTTTAGCCTCAAGTGCATTAAAGATAAAAAGGTCCCCATCGGGGTCACCGTGGTCGTAGCGGCGTTGCTTCTCGCCATCATCGCGCTGGCGGGTAAGTGGCTGAGGATGGAGGTGCCCACCACCAAAGTCCTCTCCTCCCCTGGAGAAAACCCAGCGGCGTAAGTCACCAGGACGCGTTCTGCTTATTTCCAGCCAAGAAATGCCCGTCCTGTCCATCCTGCCCCTCTCCCGTCCTTCCCAGCTGCCTGGAAAAGGGGATCGGGTACAGGGAGAAGTGCTTTTACTTTGTGGAGGACGAAGCGGACTGGAACAGGAGTCAGATCTCTTTCCTTTCTCTCGGAGCCCATTTGGCCACCATCGACACGCAGGAGGAGCTGGTAAATGAGAAATCCCCGAGGAACTGGTGTGTCAATGGCTTTTGGGAAGCAGATTTGGGGTTCCCCCGGAAGGCGTAGCGTGAAGATGCAGCTGATGCTTGCTTTTTCCCCCGCTCTAGCGTTTGCTCTTGCGCTATGGGAGTTCCTTGCACTACTGGGTCGGTCTCCGAAGGGAAGGCTCTGGACCTTGGAAATGGTTCAACGGGTCTCTCTTCAGCAACGCGTACGTCCCGTCGTCTTCTGGAGAATGTAACCGTAGCCTGGGCTCAGATGGGTCGGGGATTGAATGCAAGACAACACATACATATATATA